CTTCAAAAAGAATCCAGACGTTGGTGTTGAGATGCAGCTGGCCGTTATTCCAAATTCAGCACGCGACAAGTTTTACCTCGTGAAACATATCATGTTCAAGGATCAAGTCAAGACAGATTATGCTAAACAGCTGTGTCATGGCGAACTACATCAAGTTTCTTGGGGAGGGAATGCGAAGAACCTCAAGAAAGCTTTGCAGTACATGTTTGAGAACATGGGCGGCTACCAGATCCGTATGTACTCATTGCAAGCAGGAGCTGTCGGGCAGAGTGAGGCCAAAGGCACCTTTTTCTCGAATCTTTCAGAAGAGGGCATCGACGTCGGGTTTGATTTCATTGAAAAGCATGGCCCCCGAACCGAGCGCCTCATCAAGGAAGCACTCCGCAATTTGATGTCGGATGGAGTTCTGGCACTTCCTGTGGACGACTTCCCCCTGACCTTGGTTGACGTCGATCCCACGGTCTTGAACATCTTAGAAAAATTCTTTCCTCACTTCACCGAAAAGGCACTCGGCATGCGCGGTGTCCCAAACGTAGGTAAGACTCCATTGGCCCGCATCGTTGCCATGGCCATGTCCCGCTACTGGGTCCTCAAACTGAAATCGGAACATCGCCCACAGTATCGCGAGGCATGCGAGTTTGATTTTTTTCAGAGGTGAAGCCGGGCGCCAGGACAGGCCGGACATCTTCGACGACGGCACTTCGCAAACTCAAGGGGTTTTGTGACGTAGGCAACACCGTTTTGACCAAGGAAAGGTGGGGAGCGGCAAAATTTCCTCAGGGACAAATGCGGATCTATGTCAGCAACGAGTTGCAGTTGGATGCAGAACCATGTGTAGGAATTTCTGCAACACAGTCAACCACAAGACGTTTCTCGAGATTTTGGAGCCGGCTTGGATGAAAGGGACCGGGGTTTCCGACATTATCGCGGTTCTCAAAAGAACATGTCTTTTGGTCTTCACCGACAACTACATCTACTACAGGCCCGCCACAGACAAGCAGATATCGGTTGAACGCATTCCCCTAGACGACCCGAAATCAGTACTCCGACAGAGCAGTGGCCCAAAGTATAACCAGTACCGGAAAGGTTATCGTGCACCCGCCGACCCCGCACATGTTGAATGGGAACGAGCTTGGATGGCTAGTGTCATGGACAACCACGGCGAGAACCTCCCCCCAACGCCATATGAAGTTCGTCGCAGAGACGCTCGCGGCACCACTTCTTTCGAAATTAGGGTCCCGTCGCTATCTTCGGCCGAGGTGAAGCAGGAAGTGTTGTGTTGTGGTTTTTTGGTTTAGGTTATATTTTTGTGTACCGCGGAGATATTCAAGTTTAAAGGTTCTTAAAAAGTCTACAGGCACAGAGCCGAGGCCAGCGTTCTGCATAGCGGTCCTCTTCGCAGCGTCAGCAGTTCCAGACGCCTTTGCAAAGGCAGGACACCGTACACTTACTGTCTCCTGCGGTGTCCGTCTGCTCGACTTTTTTGTGACTGTGATGATGCTTCCTGTGAACGCCACAGTCCCGAGACGTCTCGCGAGTTCCGTTTGCAGGTCAACCTCTGGCAAGCTCAGTGGGATGCGTTGCGACCCCAGTCAGTCGAGACAAGACGCGTAAGACGGATGTACACAGTCTTCGGCAGCCATCGTTGGTCTTGGCGTTCGCCATTCTGGAAGTTCGTGAGCTTGTGAAGGAGCAAGAAGTACAACGAGTACAAGAAAAGGAAAATCCGGGAATGGAGCTCCGCCGGCTACCATGCCGGAACCGTCCGTGACTTGATCGACGGTAACAACAGTGCATCAGTCACTTCACACATCACTTCACACATCACCTTCGCTACCTGATCCGCACCTTTTTCCCGCAGGCAAGGGATCGTGCCGGCGAGGGCCTCCTTCTCGGCAAGGCCCCGCGAGCGGCCGGTCCTGTGGGGCACAACGCAGAACGCGCCTTCCCGCACACTCTCTTCGGCGCGTGTGCGCTTCAGGAAGACGAGAATGTTGCCGTTGATCCCGAAGCTCTCCAACGCTTGGCCAAGGAACCGGTGATTCTGAAGATGCTCTGGCAAGTTTACAGCACTGTTTGCAACACGTTGTTTGCATCCAATCCCTGCACGCTGCTACACACTACTGGTCGTGGTTTAGACTTCCGTGGTCTCTGAGGGGTGTGTTTTGTGTCTTTCTCTGTCTGTCTGCGTGTGTGTGTGTGTGTGTTCGCACAAAGATGCTGCCAGGCTGGATCGGTCCGGGCGCGCCATCAAAGAGGGCGAGAAAGTAGATGGGCTCGGCACTTTCGCAACTTCGTTTCAGCGGTATGATGCCGTAGAAAAGACCCTGCTGGCATGATCGTAATCTCTGCGATTGCTTGTTACTCATTTGTGCCTGAAGGCCGTCTGCGAGA